TCATCTGTGCCATCTGCTTTGGCAAGCGCTACGACCACAATGACCAAGAGCTGCTCAATATAGTGAATTTAAGTCATGAGTTCAGCGACGTGGCTGCTTCTGGCAACCTCGCTGACTTCATCCCCATGCTTCAGTATCTTCCCAGCCGCACCATGAGTTTATTTAAAGATTTCAACAAGCGATTCATCCATTTCCTGCAGAAGATTGTCAAAGAGCATTACGAGACCTTCAACAAGGTAAGAGCTTGTGGGACCCTCACCTCCACCAGAGATGCATCCCTGCCCTCCACCCCTTTCTATTAGTGAGTTATTTTCTTCTTGCTGCCAAGTGTCAAAGCACATCTTCCTTCTTGCAGGTACTGCTGCATTTAACAAGTCCGGATGTAGTTTCTCTCATCCGTTGTTCCTCCATGTGCAGCCCAGTACTGCAGTCCTTCTTCTTCATGGCCCTGTGTGATAGGGCCAGTTTGATGGTTGAACATCTGATCTGTGCCACAGGTTCACTGGAGAACCATCTCCTTGTTTTCATAGGTTGGAAGAGCAGTAGGGACCATGGGGGCTGAAAGATTATGTTCTCCAGAGCTAGTATGACCCTTGGTTCCCCCAGCATCAGGTCATTGCTCAGTAAGACCCATTTCTCTGCTGGTTCTACTGACATGACTTGTCTTCTCTATTTCTTAGAACAACGTCCGAGACATCACTGACTCCCTCATTGAGCAATGCCTGGAGAAAAAAGTGGACACAAATACTGCCACACAGATCCCTAAGCAGAAGATCGTCAACCTTGTGAATGACCTCTTTGGAGCAGGTATCCTTTCCCACCAGTCCCTCAGCTACTGCAGGTTTTCTGAGGCTCCTCATGTTATAGTTCTGTCTGACCCATCTTTGTCGAGCACCAGGCAGCCAGTTTGGGTCAAAGCACTTGTTCTCCTGCTCACCGGTCTTCCTGGACCTTCCGGGGACATCCCTTGAGACCAGCATGGAACATTAGCTCTGGAAATAGGCTTCAGGGAAAAGCGAAGGGCAAGGCTTATAGCTCAGTCGAGCTTCACAAGCCAGGGTGGCTGTTCCTGGTTGAGGGAGATGTCTGTTGACTGATTCATCTTTGAGTTACTCTGTGGAAACTCCCCCGATTCCAGAGAAGTTATACAAACCAGCCACAACTCAAAGGTGAATCAGGAGGAGCGAGAGCAGAATATTTTAGCAAAGTTTTCTCTGACGGGATAGAAACCCAAGTCTTAACTGTGTGCTTGGAATATCCTCTGCCTTCTCGGCCATCCCCGACTGCTTCTTGTGGTGGTTAAGCAGAAAGCCAAGCCATGTGCCCTGCATGTTGTGCAGACTTCATCTACATGCTTTCCTTTTTGACCAGGCTTTGACACGGTGACAACTGGCCTGTCCTGGAGCCTCATGTATCTTGTGACATACCCCCACATCCAGAAGAAGATTCAGGAAGAACTAGGTGAGTCCATGAACCTGATTCCTCTGGGGCCAAAACCTCTCCAGTGAGGGCTGACCCCAACCTGCTCCTTCCTCTTGATCTCCTGCAGACCAGACCATCGGCTGGGAGAGAAGACCGAGGATGTTGGACCGGAGCATGCTGCCTTACACAGAAGCCTTTATCCTGGAGATGTTCAGGCACTCCTCCTTCATACCCTTCACCATCCCCCACAGGCAAGTGCTGAGGTCCCAAAGGAGGTGAAGGGACAAGGTGGACTTGAGGCATCTTGTCACAGCCACCCTGGCAGCGGTGTGGTGAGGGGCAGGGAGATTATTACTGGCTTGCAGAATGATGGCTTCATCATGGACATGGGCAGCTCATAGCTCTTGTGCAGGGCAATGTGGGAGCTCCCAAAGAACAATCCTTGCTTTCTGCTGACCTCACTTGAAGATACTCCACCCAGCTTAGGTAGGCATTGCCCAATCCAGCTCATGGACAATGCAACTATCCCTCATAAAGCCATCTCTGCTGGCCGCATCCCTGCTTCAACAGCATCAGGAGCAAACTAATAGTCCTCTGAGGATGCAGAAGAGCCTTTTTGCTTCCCAGACTCTCATAGTCATTTCTCTCTCCAGCACGACCAGGGACACGGTGCTGAATGGCTACTACATCCCAAAGGATCGCTGTGTGTTTGTCAATCAGTGGCAAGTGAACCACGATGAGTAAGTACCTCCTGAGGCAGAAAGCCTTCTGCAGCAACACACAGGCCCCTTCCTGCACAGTTATCTTCCTGGGCAGATGTGGGGTCAACTTGCTTTCAGAAAAAGGGGAACAGGGGAGGTATCTACTAAATTCAGGGATATTCTTACTGATAGCTCCCACCTTCCAGTGTTCCCCCTATACCTGTGGCCAGAAGGCACCATCTCAGCATCTGATGTTTTCCCTTCCAGGAAACTTTGGAAGGATCCACTGACCTTCAACCCAGAGCGTTTCCTCAATGCTGAAAGAACCCAAGTGAACAGAGAAACTGGGGAGAAGGTGCTGGTTTTCAGTCTGGGGAAAAGGAAGTGCATTGGAGAACCTATCGCCAGGTGGCAGGTCTTCCTTTTCCTGTCCACCTTGCTCCAGCAGCTGGAGTTCAGTGTCTGTGATGGCAAGAAAGTGGACATGACACCACTTTATGGACTGACCATGAAGCACAGAAGATGTGAGCACTTCCAGGTCAAACAGCGCTTCCCCATGAAGAGCATGAACTGAGCTTATCCATCACCCTGACATCGCCAGCGGGTAAAGACCTGGGTGCCCCTGTAGCAAAGCTGGGTCTGGTAGAACCTTATGAAGTCATAAAATAAACTGAAACTATTGAAGTTCCTGTCTTTTCTCTTGTTCACTTCATAGCGTTTCTTGCTTTTTTCACTTTCCAACGTTTCTGATGTTGGATATTCTGTCACCTCTTAGCACTGCAAAACACATTTATGAGGTTTGAGAACTGTCTTTTGGTAGAGGGAAAGGGAATGTACCCAAAACACCACTGGCTGAATATCACTGAGCTATATTCTTTCAGAATCGCTTTTCAATAGCCATCTCATGCCATATTCCCATGGCCTCCATAGATGTTTAAGATCTTGGCTGAACTGATGCCCAAAGCTTGAGTGGAGATGAGGATGATGTTCTTGAGGTCCAGCCAGTATCACTATTTCTGGACTAATAAGGGGACAAATTTTCAGTGCTTGAAATCTACCTCTGCTGTAGATGAAGGGGAAAAAATCTCAGAAAAACACTAATACTTCTCCAAGTCCTCCAAAGACAGCCTGTTCCCCTTTTTCTGTGCTCTGTTTTTAATTGCCTAGTTGACTCGACATGTCACTCTAAGATCCCACACAGGAGAGGTTTATCCTTGTCCCTAGAGAAGCTCAAAGCACTTCAGTGCCTCTTTGAGAGTCTATCAGACAAGCTTGCACCAAGGCTTCTGCTGCTGCTCAGATGATTTTCTTCAGAAAAATGAGAGGGATCCTTTAAATCATCTGAGTTGGAGGGAAGCCCTTCTGCACCAGGGTGTTGGAGGACTTCAGCCACTTTAACCTTGCTCACCACAGTCACTGCTGGCCCTGAAGGACACAAAGAAGGATACTTTTACCCTTTGCTATTGAGACTGTCAAGCTGCTGGTATTCTGGGATGGAGCAAGGGTGTTTTCACAATGGGGCAGAGGAGAACAGGACTTTCTCCAGATCAAACCCAAGAGTTTACATTGGCTGCCAGTCAATCCATGGCAGCAGAGCCAGCTGCCTCCTTTTCTTCAACTTGCACTGCCTCCTTTTCTTCAACTTGCACGCAAAGACACCTTAGCCAACCCAGTACCTGGCAAGGAACGATGCAGGAACAAGTAGAACCATCCAGTGCAACACACACTGCTCTTAAATCTGTTCCCATGGGTGGCATCTGCTCAGCCATGGCCCCAGACCCTGACCAATGAGAGCTCCTTTCAGGTCCAAATACCAATCACTCATCATGCATTGCACAAAAGCTTCCAAGAAGAGACAGAAACGAAAGACTGTGTTGGGGAAGAAAAGGGGGAAACTGATTGCCCAAGACTTCAGGGAGATTCCAGCAAGAGCAGGGAGTTGTTCAGACCCGCTAAACAATCCTGAATGAAAAGGAGAAGTTTCTGTATGTCCAGGTCCTGCCTGGTCACCAATTTGTGATGAAGTACTGAGATAATACATCCTTAAATCCACCTGGATTCATCAAGCCAGCCTGAGCAGCCTCACACTGTGTCACAGCAACTCTGTCTTCACCACTCAGTGTCATAACCCCAATATTGCAGGAAAAGTAAGGGTGAGAACTGGGAAGTCCCAACTGTGATTTGTGGTGAGGGCTATCAAAAGTCTTTGAGGAAATGTGAAAGGATGGTTTAGGACAACCCATGAGCCAAATAACATCTTGAGACAAGGGCCATAGGTAAAGGTGATAGAGTCACGCACCACCTTTCCACAAGGGACATCCCAAAGCCAGCATTTATTTACCATACAGGGAAGGTGGGATCATCCTGACATGGGTCTGGGTCTTACTGCCTAACTTGGTGATTCAGAAGAGCATCAAGACCACCAAGGACTCATCAGGAGCATGTCACACCATCCCCATGAGGTAGACAAGCTCTCATTAATTTGGCCCAGCGATCCAGCTACAGTGAGAACACACAACGTCAATGCTGGTGTAGGAACAGAGGCCCCGTTTGTTGGAGCTGTTGCGTGACTCTCTTGCCATGAAGGCTGGCTGCGTTTGCTGATAAGGCCTGCAATAAGCAAGGGCAGAGAGAAAGAACAGTGGGAATTGTTTGGTGGTTTTTTTTCCCCTTTGGAGATGTTTTATAGCCCTGGGGCAGATAAGCAGATTAATATTAACATTGCTGAGGTGAAACAGCCCCTCGATGGTAGAAAGTCTCCTTGAGATACATTTATCAATGGCTGATTGCCTCCTCTGGGGACACAGCTGCCAATCTCCATCGGGGACCAAAGACAGGAGAAAATTCACCCCAGTGTCAGGATGGAAAAGGGGAAGGGAAGAGGCTCAAGGGGAGAAAAACGGGCAGTAGGGTGCCCTTCTCCACACAGCTCTTCTCTTCATGGTATCTGAGGTGAAACGCTCCACTTTCTAAAGCCTCATCTTCATTTGGCATCTCGCCCTCCCCTTGATGCCAACTGAGATATTCCATACAGTGGCAGGAGACTTTCCAGGCAGCTTGCACAGGCAGGAGGAACCCCTGAGACCTTGGGCTGATGTCCCTGTGTGCACACATCTCCTTGGACATCCTGGCCTGTTCAACACCCTAGTGACTGCAGGTCAGGTCCCAGTTTTCTTGCTGGAGTTACCACAGTCAAACTGTCCCTTCAATCCCAGCCACGCCCAATCCCAAACTCAGGCATCCTGCCTGCTCCTGGACAATACGGTTAGAAGATCAAAGCTGAGCAGGCTTCTTCACCAGATGCTTTCTGAGCAGAGTGTCTTGACAGCCTCCCGCAGGCAGGGAGGAGAGCAGCGAGCATCAAACAAGGTACTCCAGCTCTGCACTTCTCTTTGCTCCAGAGCAGAGCTGTGGCCCAAGATCCCCAAACCCAGGGACTCCCTGCAAGGAAGGGACAGGAACACCCTGCTCCCTTTGGGGGTGCGGGATCTTAGCGCTTCACCTCCTCCTCTTCCTTCCTTCCTCCCGATAGACAAATCCATCGATCATTGCCATGCAAGCCCCAGTTGCTCACAGTAGGTGAGGGACTCTCCTATCTTTTGTCTTTCCCCTAACGATCTTCCTCAATTAAGCCCTCCAATTACTCCCCAAGTAGCTTGCAAGTGATTTCCTTACTGGAATGGTGATAAGCCAGGGGAGCTTTTATCACCCCACGCCAATTGCTTTTGTTGGTTTTAAAATGAGTCAGCAGACCAACCATGGCAGCTGGGCTCCAGCTCCCCTTCCAAGGCAGGGAATGCTCCCAGCTCCCTCATTCCCAATGGGAAAGGTCCAGGGAGCTGCACATTTTCTCCCTTGAGCCAAGACACCTACCCGGTGCTGGCACTCGGGGTGGAGGCATCTCCTTGCCAGCAATGCCTGTACCCAGCCCTGAAATGGGCTGGAGGAACCACTTGTGGCTCTTCCTCCAGGACGGAAGGAAGAGGGGAGTTGCTCCAACATGCATCCTGTATTTCTAACTTCTTTCCTTTGGCTGTTTATTTATTCTCCTGTGAGATCTATTATCAAGAATCATCTCCCCATGGGGATTAACTCTTGAGTGTCTCCCTTTTGCTGTTCCTCCCCAACACTGATGGTCCCTTGACATCAAAAATAACATCTCTTGATGCTCTAGAGCTTAAAATAAAGCTCAGGATCGCACCTTAAACTCTATTTCTGAGCCCTGAGTGCCTTCTTTCTGACAGTGGTTTTGGGGACATCTCCCTCTGAACTGGTGGCATCTGATCCTCTAAGTGTGGTGGGCTTTGCCCTGGTGTCCTGCTTGCCCATTAGGCCTTGGGAGCTCCTTCCCATGGAGAAGGAAGTGCCCAAACACCCTCTTTCTCCTTGCAGCTCCACTCCTGGGACAAAGCTCCCCCTTGCCTTGAACCCCAGGAGCAGCTGCTTCGCAGCGGGGCTAATGGCTAGTTCCTGCCTTTTGGGGGAGCAAATCTCCACTCAGCCTCCAAGACTGAACAGCTTCTGAGGTGCTGGAGCTGGTGGGACCTTCCCCTGGTGAAGCTTCCTTCTGCAGTGGGTTGGAGAAGGTGCTGCTCCTCTGCTTGACCAAGGCTGGACCTATGGATGGAGGAGAGCTTGAGATGACAGTGCTGGACATGTTAAACCTAGTAAATGGCTCTGCTCCTATGTTGTGAGGCTCCCAAATCAGTACGAAGCCTTCCTCCTGATCCCGCCCTTCACCTCCATCTTCTCTCTGGAAAGGAGATGGTGTTTGGGTGGATCGATTGACCTCTGTCATGAGAGGTACAAGGTACCTGTTAATCAGAGAACATGAAAGCAGGTAAGGATGGAGTTTGTCCCCGGGTTAAGAAGGGAACAACGGAGATGTAGATATAACCACTCCCTGCACGCAAAGGGCTGCCAGGAAAAAGCTCCAGGCTCCAGGGAATGGCCTCAAACCTGGCTGCCCCCCTACCCCAGCATGGGCATGGCTATGATTTTCCACGGTGGGGAAGAAAAAGAGGGGGACAGGGGACTACAGGGCTTGTGATGGGGAGAGATGTCCCCATGGAGCTGTGGGCCACCAGGTCCCATGAGGGCTGACAATGTGAACCAAAAGCCTGTGGGAGTTTGGGTGCTCCCCAAACCCAGCCAGTTACTGCAGAGCAAGGGGAGATCTAGGGGGGGTCACACAGGGGACAGGTCCTCATCTGTCCCCACATACCCCCCCGCAACTGAACCAATAATAAGGGGTCCCAGTTGACCGCGCCAGTCTTGTGCCCCTAAAATCAGCTCCCTGAAGCCCACCAGGGCAGGTCAAGCAGGGCTGGTTCTGACCCCCCCACACCTAGTGCCGAGGGGGAGGACACAGGCAGAGTGGGGGATCCAGCCTGATCCCACACTGGAAGCCAAAAGCCACCCATCAAGAAGCAGTGTCCCCACCCTGCTGCCTTTCTGCTTGAATTAAAACCACCCCGGACTGGAGAGGCTATGAAATGAGGTTGCCCTCCACACCCAAGAGGGGTTTTGGGGGCAGGACAGCAGGAGAAGCCCCCCAAGAGCCAGGGCTGACTGCCAGCACTGTGGTGGGGGGTGCAGGATCCTAATTCACTTTGGTGCTTCCAAAGCATTTTTGTCCCTTCTCGCTGGGGTATGGGACATGAACGCCCTCCCGTG